CTTTTTCGGTTTGCCACGGGGTCATGTTATGACCCTGCAGCCCGTATCCACTTTGGAGATGAAAGCCTTGTGGTTTTCTCATAAACATTCCAAGCGGCCTTTGCATGTTGAAAATTTCCTCAAGTATTTCTTTTATATAAAGAAAGCATGTCCTTGTAGAGCGCTCAGGGAATTTATCCCTGCCAGTGTGCCTAGCAAATGACGCTGGTAATGATTAACCTACAAAATGTGGCCTGTGCTAGAACACTAAGCACAATACTTATGAAGAAACTGTACCATGCTATAAGTACCTTGGGGTGCACATCACTTCTAACATGTCGTGGAAAACTCATACTGACCACATTATTGCCAACGCTAACTCCATGCTTGGTTACCTAAAGAGAAACTTTAGGTTAGCCCCAGTGTCCCTAAAACTACTAATGTATAAAACCCTTGTCCGTTCCAAACTAGACTATGCAGCAGCAATCTGGGATCCTGGTCTCTCAACTCTCGTGACTGATCTTGAAGCCCTACAGAATCGCGGTGCCCGTTTTATATTTACTAACTATCATCGCCCATCTAGTGTCTCAACTATGAAAACTAATTTATCACTTCCTGCTCTTTCATTACGCTGAAAAATATCTCGTTTGTGTCTTTTTTATAAAATTTATCATTCCAATACTTCGCTAAAAAACAAACTAATGTTAAATCCTGTTTTCATCTCGCCGCGCGTAGATCATCAATTTAAAGTCGGAATTCCTCATTGCATTACCTCAGCCTATTATAACTCTTTTATCCCAAGGACATCTTCAGAGTGGAATCGCCTTCCCGCGCAATTAGTAAACATACCGTCCTTTGACTTGTGTAAAAGTGCGTTGACTACTTACCTATGTTAATATTTTTCTGTGTTTGTTTTGCCTTGTTCTATACATTTCTTAATTTGTTTACACATTTTTTTTTTTACATTTTTCGTGCTTGGTTTTTAGTGTTTGTATATTGTTTTGTGTTCCAAATTTGTCTTGTACCACTCCCCTCTGTAATGCCCCAGGTTCTTGAGGGTACTTAAATAAATAAATAAATAAATTGCACCTCGGATCACTATATGAAGATCACTTGTTGCTCTTGTCATTTGACGTTCTCAAATTGAAAAGACTGGTTTTTGTGGGGATGTACTAAAGGCAGCAAAATGAATACCTTTTTGGGCGACATGATGAAAAACAAAAGAGACAACAGGAGAGAGACACATAGGATACACAAGCGCTGACTCGCAATCGGTATTTATGAGAGGAGAAAAAAAATATCTTCGTACATTAAAAAAAAACAGGAAGAAGCTCTTTTTTAGTTTCTTATTATCTTTGTGAATATTCATGGTGTGAATATAGTGTGCTTCGTCCTTTTCTTTTTTGGTATGAACGTCGTTTTCCTCTTTTATTAATATCAGTTGTGAGTCAGTGCATGTGTGTTCTATGTGCCTCTCTTTTGTTGTCCTTTGTGCGCTGTTTTTCATTATGTCGTCTCAATACCAGCTAGCCCAACTCACAACATTGCTCTAACTTTTTGGAACGTGTTATGGACCCGACGAGGGCTAGAACAGAAAGTTTAGATCTTACACTACATACTTATTGACAGGTTGAGGTTTAACGAGGGTTGTGGGAGCCATGAAACTGGAAAGAAGAAAGATTAACCCTTTCATATTGTTACCAATAGTTAATGCGTAGGCTTTATTCATAAAGAGCTTTATTGCAAGTCCCTGAGAGTTTATGGTAATAAAGGTTAGTTTGTGCCCATGCTTATAAAGGTCGCTTGGAATTTGTGGTAATGAAGGTCAGTTAGAGCTTATAGTAGAAGTGAAGGAAAATCCACCGATGGATCTTCCCTTAATTTTTTTGCCGCCTACTTGGACCAGCGCTAGTTCTTCATTCGTACTCCATTTTGTGGCACAAACCAAGGCATATGCGCTCCGCACACCTGCAAGTTCAGACTCACCCCCGCATTTGTGCACGCATTGGCTTCTGCCCCGTGACGTCACCTCCATCTCGTCTTGCTGCGCCGCGCTTGCATTGGCGTCCGTCTTGTGACGTTGCTTTCCTCTCACCTTTGTCCTTCACTACTGTCCTCCCTAAGCGGCGCACTTCCCTTTCCTCTGTTTTGTCCACAGAGGGATGCCGTGAGCTTTGGAAACTAATGCTAACACAGGTCTGCTAGTGTTTATGGTAATGAATGTCAGTTGGAGTTTATTGTCATGAAGGCCTGTTGGAGTTTGTGGTGGTTGTGGTAGTGAAGGTCGCTTTGGGTCTATAGCAATAAAAGTCTGTTGGAGTCGACGTAGTGAGAAGAGAGTAACGGAGGCGACCAACAGCCGCAGCAGCAGACGATTTGTCGGCGATGCGCCTCTCCCAACCTCCCAATGGTACGAGTGCGTCAAGAGAGGGCGCCACTGATCCAGAAATTGAGGAGCGGGGGAAACAAGTGTAGTGGAGTTGGCAGAGTTGGAGACCGGGCGTGATTTGGAGTTGATGCTAATTAAGGCTAGTTGGAGTCCTTGCAAATAAAGGTCAGTTTGAGTCTATTCTAACGAAGGTCATTTGGAGTAAACATAGTTTGCGGCAGCGAAGGCCACTCGGAGTCTCGGGCAACAGGGTCCTTTTGGCAACAGAGTTCTTTGCCCAGGTGGCGACGTGGAGCGGTTCGATCGAGATCGGGGTGACGGCCCTGGACCCGTGCACGCTGGCCTTCCCTTCGAGCGCCACGAACCTGCGGGAGGGATCGTGGGTGATGTCCGGCACGGGGGTGCTGCAAGACGGCCAGCCCCTGGTGGAGGAGTACGGCGCGGACCTGGACCAGCTCGGGGAGGGCGACCGGGTGGGCGTCATGCGCAGCTCCGCCGGGGAGCTCCAGTTCTTCGTCAACGGGCGCTCTCAGGGTGTAGCCGCCCGCAGGCTGCCCCCCCGCGTCTATGCCGTGGTGGACCTGTACGGCAAGTGCGCCCAGGTCTCCATCGTGGACGGCGAGGCCCGTGAGCACCCTTCCGTCCTTTCATCAGAGCAAAGAGCGCCGCTTAAGCTGGAGCTTACCGAGCTTTCCTAAATCTGCCTTGTTTTAGAGGGTGGTTCATTTTGTCCTGTGGTTTTGTTTAAATGTAGCAGCGGGTCTTGTTTTCGTGGGAACGCGCATGGTAGTCGCAAAGTTGGTACGAGGCGAATTGAAGAAGTTTTAATGAATGTTTCTGCCCCTTTTTCGTTAAGCATCTTTTTTATGCCACAATTTCTAGGACAATTAAGTGCTACAGAAACAACCAAGTTGGAGACTTAGCAGGGTCCTTCTGGGTGTGCCATTAAACATATTCCACGTGATCGGTCGTCTTATAGGAGTGTCCAAAACTCTCCAACATACCGCTCGCTAACCAATCCTTTAGCTAAGCACTACCGTAATATCCCGAGTCATCGCCCACCCCCCTACCACCTGAAATTCATTAAAAAAGTGGGGTGGGCCATGTCTCGGTGGGTGAGCACAAACACTTGAAAAAAAGCGGAAAAAACCGCCTATTTTTCTCTGTGTATCTAGCGCTGATGCACAAGAGATACATCAAACTCAAAACTCGATTTAGTTTCATTGTTTTATAGAAAAAAATGCTCACGAAAGAATATTTTACTATAGCGAAGTCCGTTGCTTGCATACGCGCTAGAAACACCGCCGATCTGCATATAGCGCGAACATTTGTTCCGTGAAAGAATGTCACCACTCTGTTCTCCTAGTTAGTAAAAAAAAAAAGAAAGAAAAGTCTACAAGAAAAAGAAAAACCGACCAGGCGCAACGAGCGAGCGGGCGAGCGAGCGGACCAAAGAAGCGACCAAGAGCAATGCTGGGAAAGCGGGAAAGCCGGCGGTCGCGTTGGCAAATACTTTGGCGTCGGGCCAAGTCGGGCGCCTTGTCAATTGCAAGCTCTTGCGCAACTTTCTTGTTTGGTGCGTACATACGTGCGTCCGTGCACGGCGGGCTATCAATGCACGGTTGGGACGCTCTGCAAACGTCTGTGTAGGGCGTTCCAGCAAAGCTTTATTTACACGTTGGCTTTGCCTAAAATATTGCACAACCGCGGTCGCGACGGGCGGGAAGAAGGAGCGGGTTCGCGGTGACCTTACTTCGGCGGAGACAGACTTTGACCTAACACTCCGCGGTTACATGAACAAACTCTTATTTTGTTATCTCCATCGTTTACTTTTCGCACGAATACACGACCACTTTGGGGTCGCTCACGGAGGTAAACAGAAAGAAGTGTCTTTCCCTCCTTTGTTTTACTTTGTCACGGACGTCCTCGAACTGTAAGGTAAGCAGCCGCGTCATTCGGGTAGGATGAGTGTTCGCGGATCGCAGAGTCCGCGCCGGGGTAGTTGAAGGGGTGGGCGATGACTCGGTGTTTTTTCGGAAATTGATATTGGCCCAAAAAATGGGGTGGGCGATGGCTCGGGGATGGGCGATGACTCGGGATATTACGGTAGTAGAATTCGGGGGGGGGGGGGGGGGGGGGGGGGGGGGGGCGAATATTTTATGAACTGTAAAGCGGTGTTATGGTGAACCGTCGCAAAGAGCGGTGTTATGGTGGGGCTTGTTTCTCTTCTCATTTGACTAGAAGTTTGCAGGAAATGCAACAGTGCCTCCTGAGCCACATTTTTTTTTTAAAAAGGTTTTATACAGTTTGTGAGTGTAGACATGTGCATTTGGCATGCTTCGGTGTGCAATATTTTTTGCCCATTTCTTAAAATAGGGCAAAGAGGCACTTATGTTCACAGCAAAGAACTCCAGATAAATGTGTATTTTTATGTCAAACTAAGCGAGGCAGAGATTAGAGCAGAAATTGCC